AATGCGATTATTTAGTAAATATAAACTGCTAAATACCTTTTCTTATCAGCAGTTAGAGCAGTCATGTGACTTCTATCAGTGTCCAGCAGAGCACAGGTTAAAGCTTGTAGGAAGAGCTTTCATTTTGCTCTAGTAGAATGCAGAACCCCTGACCTCTGACCGCTGATTGGCCCTGTGCTGATCACATGCATCCTTTATGGCAATACACACCAAGCTGAGCATGTGCAGTTTGCCCCCAATGCTTTGTACTATTAGCAGATGGACTGGGGACTGTGAAAGAAGGGGAGGATCAAGAAAGACAGGATCAAACAGCCTTTTTACACAATGCAGATGATTTACTCCTTAGGTTCTACAGTGAGTATACCAAGCATGCTTTACTGCATATACAGACTGATTTTACTGTTGTGGATTTAGTAACACTTTAAGAACAATTTGATTTTCCAATCCTAGTGGAGTCTAATTGAGGTTTGTTTTTCAGTGATGAGAAATTTTTAAGGAGAAGAATGGAAATTGTTTCTCGAACTAATTTCTAAGGGTAAAGGTGGTCTTTGTTCAGCAAAGTCTATTTGTTCCCAAATCAAATGTTAAAAGCAAACAAAAGTTTGAGGTACTTTTCAACGACATTCATCAAGCCATTGATTGCACTGAGAACTTTCATATGAATGTTTATTTGAAAGTCTTCTAGGGTATGGTCAGGTTTATACATACATTTGCTGATCCACTCACATTTCCTCTGTATTGTGCATATAAAGATGAAAAGTAGACTATACAGCACTGAAGAGTGTTTTTGTTAAAATTCTGTGGCTGCATCTCTACCAGTTTCAACATGCAATAAGAGAACAATAAATAATGTAGTGCCCCTTTAGTTAGACAGTGGGAGCTAGCTAGGTTTTAGTTTTTTTTGTTGTTTTTTTTTAGGCAGAGGCTGAATAGTAGCCTGTAATGAGTTAGCCATGTTACTCTAGGCCTGGGCTGAGGGCTCTGCAGTTCAGTTCCCTGATACCTCCCCCTGCTCTAGAAGCTTGAGACATTTCTAGAAGGCAGTGGGTGGGGTGAGAAAAGGCTGATCTGCATGTCTGAGGGATCTTGACCAATCCCCAAGCAGGAGACTTAGCATGGGGCCAGGACAGCCCTCAGATATGATTGAGCCTGATCAGCAGGAAGGGGGGTCAATGTGTGTGTTGGCTGAAGTGTGGAGCCTGGGAGAGGGCCTAAGGAATGTTTCTACCTACAGGCTGTTGTGGAAGAGGGGACCTCCACTGTGCCACTGTCTACTAAGAAGGACAGCCTGAGCAGCAGGGAAGGAGCTAGCCCAGCAGAATGCCTGAAGGCAGCCACCAACCCATAAAACTATCAGGAAGGACAGTGTGAGTAACTTTACACCCCCTGGGCCGGACAATGGCAGTCAGGTGGAGAGCCTAACTAGCTCCTCGGCCAGGACTGTTTAATCTTTGGCAGCTTTGGCAACTTCTGGATACCCTTGCCCAGCCCTTAGTACTACTGGGTGAAGAGGAGGATTCATCTGGGGCCTGAGGAGGTACACTGGACAACTGGAGTGCTCTCAAAGAAGAGACAGATTTTGCTTTTTGTCCATAGACTTGTACATAGTTTGTCCTCGCAGTTTACAGTTCGTTGGGAATCCCATGCATCCCTCATCCCCATCCAAGTCCAATACCCCTTAATAAAATCACAAAACAAGCCTTAGGACTGGTTACTGTCTTATTGTGCAAGTGTGAAGAAAGAAGGTGCTTGTTGCTTGGCTGTGCAGGACTCTAGGGGGACCCAAAAACGTTGTAACTCCTAAGGGGGCAGCACTGCAATAGCAATGTTTTTGCATGTCAAATCAGGTCCACATCCTTTGTTATAGCTGATGGGAAGAGCAAAGAACAACAGACTAGAACATAGTCTCCTGCAAACACACATGCTGAACCGGACACAGAAAAACACATACTCATTAGCTGCTATGATTCACAAAGTATAGGCTTGTGAGAGAACCAAGCTTCTGATGCTTCTAGTCTGCACTGCAACAGTTAGGCTATGTAGTATCTAGGATTTGGCAAACATACACACTGCTTTTTTTGCACTTAAAAATATACGCTTTAAACAGTAAACCTAAGTCTCGGAACAAGAACATTTGGTTTACCAACATAAGGGATGCCCTGCTAAATGTACAAAACTCTGTTTGGATATACCCTGAATTGACCCCTCAGAGATAGGCTATTGGATTGAATGATATATGTCTGTTAGCTGGGCTGCTATTTACCCTTTACTCTGATACTTTTGGTGTATAATTGATAAAAGGGACACCATAGTGTTTTTTTCATTAATTGTTATTGGGATTACAGGTTGGCACTTACAAAATTGTTACAGGGTGTGGCGGGTCAGATTCAAACAGAGTTTTGAAGTACAAGTAGCCTGTACTAATTGGATCATAGGCAAGCCAATACTCTTTATTGTTACATTACCCATATGTACCTTCATATAGCGGGAAATCTTAAGCATTTCATGTACATGATGTGTTTTTTCACAGGACTGAGATTGAGCTCTGACGGCACTTTTGCAGCAGTTGTTTTCTTCTTCTGGGTCAAAATCCTGTGCAATGTCCTTTTCTCAGTTGACCATGTCGACCGCACTTATGCTTATCAGCTGACGTTTTCTCGGAAACTGTATATGACGTCATAACCTTTGATACTGTACCTCGCAGAACGGAAAATAAATTGGCAACTTCAGTCATAGAGGCACCAGCTAAGAGGACACCAACTATTTGCCCTCTTTGAAGCTCAGTAAGCTCTGACACAACTCTGTATTACTAGCAGCACACGGAGTACAAGACAAACGTAAGGCTTCCCATCTGGTAGCTAGGTGTCTCATCACACAGCAGAAGCAAAAGAATGCTACATCACTTCCGCTTTCAATGCAAAACATGTCATCACTTTCACACCTGTGAATGTAGCGTTTCCATTTTTTTTTGTCTAGCCCCTGTATACACTATACCCAGTAAGGTTCAACTACAAGGTCAGTGCTGACACATACAACAGATTCACTATTTATATTCAAATTAATAGTTAATTTTATTTTTTAATGCCTATAAGAGTTAGCAGTGATTATAAGTGTAGGGATCATACCTTAAGCTGGAGTGTCCCAAGTACAAAATTCAGAGTTGCTGCTTGGCTGTAGTTAGCCTGCACACAGATTGTTAATGTTTCTGTATTCATTGCATTTCCCCAATGGAGTTCAGACTATTTGTTACTTCTGTATGTTATGGGGAGTGTCCCTGGCAGAAAGACCTTGAATAAATATTGTTTAGTTAAAAATATTTATTTTTCTCTGGCAAATCACTAATAGGGTTATAGTCCATGGCGCATGCTGGGAGAGGATATAAATATTTTGGGCCTTCTGGTCTTGTGCTGGGAAGAAGGTTGTGCTGGAGGTCTTTTGCCTTTCCAGGCTTGCTGCTCAGGGAGGATCTTTGCTGAAAAAAAGGGGCCTGAGCCTAGGTATTTTATGCTGCCCTACTGAAGGGTAAATCCAGAGGGAGTTGAGTAGAAAGATGGCTGTCTGTATGGAGCATATTGGGAAGAGGCTTTGCTGTAGTATCACAGAGAGCATACTATTCAGCAGCAACATTCTCAAATTCTGGCTGCTCATCCTAGGTGATACTTGTGCTACCTTGTTGTGTGTAACATATGTGTGTCCATATAAAAGAACATCTGGGTAGCAGTGACCATAACACAATTTCATTTAGCTGAAAACAACAAGTACATACGGGAAACATAAAAACGCTCAATTTTAAGAGAGCTATCTTTCCAAGGCTGAGAGCTGCTCTCCAAGACTTAGAATGGGAGGGAATATTAGCATCAATGAACACAACACAGAAATGGGACTTCTTCAAAAAGACTGTATGTGAACACACTGCAAAATAAATTCCCATGGGCAACAAGTTTAAAAGGCTAAAAATCAAACCTATGTGGCTTACAGCCAAAGTTAAAAAAGCTATAGATAATATGAAAAGAGCTTTTTTATTAAATGTAAAAAAAGAAGGAACACTATCATCACTTAAACATTACAAAGAATATAACAGAATATGCAAAAAGGAAATAAAGGCCGCAAAAATTGAAAACGAACAGATTGCAAAAGATAGGAGGACCAACCCACAAATATTCTTCAAATATATTAAAAATAAAAAAGTCCGGTCAGAGTATGTAGGCCCTTTACAAAATAATCTAGACTGGGGACTGGGGACAAAGAGAAGGCAAATGTATTAAATACCTTCTTCAGCTCCGTGTATACAAAGGAGCACGGGGGAGCTCTTGTCCATAATGGACATGGTATTGACACAGCTCTAGATGATCCACATTGGCTCACAATTGATATGATCCAAAAATACAGTATAAAGGTGAATAAAGCACCTGGACCGGATGGCATACACCCACGGGTCCTTAAAGAATTGAGCTCTGTCATTTCAAAGCCATTGTTTCTAATTTTTAGGGACTCTTTAATGACTGGCATAGTACCACTGGATTAGCGCAAGGCCAATGTGGTGCCTGTATTTAAAAAGGGGTCAAAATCTTTAAGAAGTTATTATAGACCTGTTAGTTTAACTTCTATAGTTGGGAAGATACTGGAGAGTGTAGCCTCCCTAGCAGTCTGATTATGTCCATATTTCTGTGCTCAAAGCAGTACATTTTTTTGCATGGAAATATGTATTTTTTTTATTGTAGGTCTGTAATTTTTAGGAATAACTCACTGAAATCTGTCCGAACAAGAGTCTAGTAAACATCCTGGTTATGTTAAAATTTGAAACACGAAATCATAAATTATAATTTAATACATAATCATAAAAAATAATAATATAATAATAATAAATTTAATTCAATAATTTAATCAAACCAAAAACACTGAAATTTGAAATATAGCGCCAAGTTCGCACATCACTGAGCAAAGTCGCAAAATCGTTTTCAGTGTCTGATGCCGAATTTCCCCACGAACCATTATCACTCAATTCTGCAAGTAGTTCTAATTTACTATCGCTGTTCTCTAGCTGGTCTAAACCCGCTTTTGACCTAAAGGGACGCTCTTTGGACACCATGGACATTTCTCAGTTTCCAGGCAGAAAGAGCGGTAAAAATGCAGGCAGGGCACAGGACAAAGCACTAGGGACAAAATGTATGTGAAACGCTTTGATACAGTAATGTTTTACTGTGTGATTTTAGTGTATTTAGTGAATGTCACTTTTTCACATTTTTAAATTTCCCGCCAGTTCCAACCCCGTACGTTCCGACGTCGCAGGGAACGGAACCCAGAAGACAGATGCCGGCATCGGCCGGAGGACATTGCCGGGGACACTGCAGGAGGGACATCGCGGGAGTGCAGGACAAGGTAAGTGAAGAAGGATCCCAGAGCAACGCTGCAAGGTATTCCCAAGTGTAGCTCAGGCTTGTGGTGCTGAAACTTTACCCCGAGCTACACTCGGGAATACCTCCAGTGAGGTTAATAAAAGACAACAGATGTGTTCTTGCTGGAAAAAAAATATTTTAGGCAACAGACAGCATGGATTCATGAAAGAGAGAAGTTGTCAAACAAATCTGATTTCTTTTTATGATGAGGTGAGCAAAACCTTGGACAGAGGGGTGGCGGTGGACGTGGTATACTTGGACAGAGGGGTGGCGGTGGACGTGGTATACTTGGATTTTGCAAAAGTGTTTGACACAGTTCCCCACACATGGCTAATGTGTAAGGTAAAGTCTACAGGCTTGAAAACATCTGTATGTAAATTGTTAGAAAACTGGTTAAAAGATCGTATTCAGAGAGTAGTGGTTAATGATTCATACTCTGAATGGTCTGGGGTTGTCAGTGGTGTACCCCAGGGTTCAGTGTTGGGACCCTTACTTTTTAATATATTTATAAACAATATAGGGTCTGGGATTAAAAATACCATTTCAGTCTTTGCAGATGACACCAAGCCGTGCAGTGGAATAACTTCCTTACAGGATGTTTCAAACGTACATGCCAACCTCAATGCACTGTTTAATTGGGAACTATGTGGAAAATGAGGTTTAATGTTGATAAATGTAAGGTTATGCACTTGGGGGCTAAGAATATGCATGCATCATACATACTTGGGGGGTACAACTGGGGGAATCAATGGTGGAGAAGGATCTGGGAGTTCTGGCAGATCACAAGCTTAATAATGGCATGCAATGCCAAGCTGCAGTTTCTAAAGCGAGCAAAATCCTCTCTTGTATTAAAAGAGGTATAGACTCCAGAGAGAGAGAGATAATTTTACCTCTGTACAAATCATTAGTAATACCTCTTCTGGAATATGCAGTTAAATTTTGGGCACCAATTCACAAAAACAACATTGGGGAACTGGAGAAAGTACAGAGAAGGGCAACCAAACTGATAAGAGGCATAGAGGAGCTCAGATATGAGGAAAGATTAGAGGAACTGAATTTATTCTCTCTTGAGAAGAGGAGATTAAGGGGGGATATGATCAACATGTATAAATACATCAGTGGGTCATATAGTGAACTCGGTTTAGAGCTATTCACCCCGAGGTCATCACAAAGGACAAGGGGGCACTCTTTACATCTGGAGGAAAAGAAATTTAATCTCCAAATATGGAAAGGTTTCTTCACAGTGAGAGCTGTGAAAATGTGGAATAGATTCCCTCAAGAGTTGGTTCTGGCCAGCTCAGTAGATTGCTTTAAAAAAGGCCTGTATTCTTTCCTAGATACACAGAATATAACTGGATACTATTTATAGCTATAGTTGATCCAGGGAATATCCAATTGCCTCTCAGGGGTGAGGAAGGTATTTTTTTTCCCCTGCAGGAGCAAATTGGATCATGCTTTGCTGGGTTTTTCCTCTGGATCAACTGTGGGTCTAGAATTATAACTTTCTTTTTTTCATTATGGTTGAACTGGATGAACTTTTTTCTTTTTTCAGCCAGACAAACTATGTAACTATGTAACAGTCTACCAGTATAGATTATTGCCAGTCTTGGCTTAAAGATCCATAGCCTGTACTGAATATCGCTAGTGGAGAAGTCCAGAGAAAATTTAGCATATTTCTGGATAAACTATCTTAAATGTAACACAGTGACTGCCGCCTAAATCCTTTCACTTCAAAAACAGTCAAACAGCAAAGAGGAGACTGCAATTTGTATCAATTGAAAAGAAAGAAAAAAACCTGTTCCCAGCTAAGCGCACTATTTCTTCACTTTTGGGTGCAAGTGCAGTAATCTCTTGTGCCAAACATTACAATCCCAGCCTCTTCTATATCAATTCGCCGATCAGGAGGCAGTAAGAAAGCATTCCCAAATTCCCAAATTTGGGAATGGTCTATCCAATGAGAATAATGTGTCCCTCCCCTTGACTTTCACAAATATAGTAATAATAGGAAATATATAGGTCATGCTAATTCTTTTGTTTATTGTTATAATTTTAAGTCTGAGGGGGCATTGCATCCCATAACTCATAAATTATAATTCACATATGTAAGACCAAGCTATGATCCGCTGGCCAAATCCAGCCCACTACAGGATTGCATTCGGTCCACAGCTATAATCAGGGTCCCCCCACTACACTGTCTTTCACCAATTTTCCAAGTTGGTTTGTTATTAGGACTGCTGTCGCCCTAGCAACCAATGTTGAGCTTACACTGTCCATACCTACTCTGCCTCATGCTCTTTTGCTACACTGACTACAGCCACACCGTAGGCAAATTAAGGGCCCGATGGGGAGGGAGGAGCTCAGATGGGAACCCTGATGTAAGGGGGCTCAGATGGTGACCCTGATGTACAGGGGGTTCAGATTGGGAACCCTGATGTATTGGGTGACTAATGTAAGGGGTCTCTGATGGGAATCCTGATGAAAGGGGGCTCAGGTGTTGACTCTACTGTATGAGCAGCTGAGATGGGTGTTCTGGTGTAAGGGGTGACTAATGTAAGGGGGGCACTGATGAGAACCCTGATGAAATGGGGGCTCAGATGGTGACCCTGATGTACAGGGGGCTCAGATGTGAACCATGATGTATGGGATGACTCTAATGTAAGGGGGGCTCTGATGGGAATCCTGATGAATGGGAGCTCAGGCGGTGACCCTGATGTATGGAGGGCTCAGATGGGAACTCTGATGTAAGGAGTGACTCTAATGTAAGGTAGGTTTTGATGGGGACCCTGATGTAAGGGGTGACTCTGGTGTATAGAGGGAGCCTTGCTTTGTTTTACTGAAGTTCTTTCTCTTTTGCTCTGAATCATATAATTCTCATTCCAAAAAAAGATCTATAAGTGAAGCCTATTCATTTTTATTCATTATTTTCTAAAACTGATTTTCTTTTGCTCTGCGAATATTTGTTAAATATACAATGTGATCCCCGATTTGGTTTGGAGAACCCCGATGTAGATAAATAAGTGAGTGAGCCTCCTCAATGTATAGGTTCATATGAGTTCCTGCCTTACATCAGCACCACTTATCCAAAAATGAAATTTATTGCTAGCATATGCTAGGTCGTCATAGTAGCTGGTAATAAATTCAGGGCATCAAATATACCCCAATGTTATGCATACAAAGACCCACACAGTTTGCTTCTAAAGCAATGACACAACTTTTATTGAAGCTTTATGTACCCCATAATACCAGTAATTTCTCTCTATTTGTAGATTATAAGAAATGTTACTGACCCATTTAGTAAAAGGCAGGAAGTTGTAGTTACACAAGAGGCTGGAATTTAATGAAGTATTAGGGTGATTGCTGAAGGGTGTCTGGCACAATGCTTAGTGACAATACCGCTGCTTCTTTCAGTATGTGAGTGATCTTACAGACCGGAGCCATTAAAGCAATTCTCATCTTCCCTGTCATTTTACCCTCATTTCAGGGTATGTATTTATTTAGTTTTTCCATGGTAAAATCATGCAAGACTAGCAATCATTTGTCTCTCTCGGCAGAACACACTCAAACATTCCAGTGTTAATATTAGGAGCAATCCAATTTGCAAGAATATGAAAACATGGAATATTGTTAAATTCAAATGTATATGCTTTATGCAGTGTGGAATTAGTAAATGAACAAATGTTTATACCAGATACAAATAAAAGAAAAATTCAACCTTAAAATGAAAGGTCAAAAATCTGATTGCAGCTACACTTATAACTAACATTACAGAACTTACATTGATAGCAGAGCTAAAGCCTTTGCATTTATTACTGTAATGCAGTCAGCATGCATATACTGTACAGTAATAAATACAGCATGGTCTTGTGCTTCCAATACAGAGTATTTGAAATCTACAAACATACAAAGAGATGATCACAGCTTGTGTGTGAGTCTAGGCATAGGTGTCCTGAAGTCTACTTTCTTCCAGGGGCCTGGTAGTCACGGTAATTAAAGTATATGTGAACCCTCACCTTGTAACACAACTTATTCAGTTTAAAATAGAAGGCAAAACATTTGTGTATAGACATAAAAAAACATTATAAACACCTTTTTTCCCTTTTTTTTTTATAAGCGATCACATGACCTTCGTTCTCAGCTGCATAAGGAACTCAGAGAGATGGGGGAGGAGAAGCAGCAGCACACTGGTCTTTAGGCTGGGGGGGGGGGTGCCAGAAGTCTGATCATTGAAAGAGAGCAGGCTGGGTTCTCATTAGCACAGCTAGAAACTGGCCACTCTGTGCTCTCATGCCTAGTGTGACAGGAACACCAGGGATTTCACACACAAAGGAAGCAGCACAAAGAGGACAGAATACTTTTTCATACAAGTACATGGTACAGAGCAGGCACATACTGTATTCTATATTGCCAAAAGTCTTGGGCTGCCTGCCTTTACACACATATGAACTTTAATGGCATCCCAGTCTTAGTCTGGAGGGTTCAACATTGAGTTGGTCCACTCTTTGCGGCTATAACATCTTCAACTCTTCTGGGAAGGCTGTCCAAAAGGTTTAGGAGTGTGTCTATGGGAATGTTTGACCATTCTTCCAGAAGTGCATTTGTGAGGTCAGGCACTGATGTTGAACGAGAAGGCCTGGCTTGCATTCTCCACTCTAATTCATCCCAAAGGTGTTCTATCGTGTTGAGGTCAGGACTCTGTGCAGGCCAGTAAAGTTCCTCCACCCCAAACTTGCTCATCCATGTCTTTTGTGGACCTTGCTGTGTGCACTGGTGCGCAGTCATATTGGAACAGGGATAGGCCATCCTCAAACTGTTCCCACAAAGATGGGAACATGAAACTGTCCAAAATGTCGTTGTATGCTGATACCTTAAGAGTTCCCTTCGCTGGAACTAAGAAGCCAAGCCCAACCCCTGAAAAACAACCCCACACACCATAATCCCTCCACCACCAAACTTCAAACTAGGCA